CTGGTCTGGTGCCCATCCAGATGTTTCCTATGTTACATGGACAGAATTACTTTAAATAAATAGGCCGTGTGTAGATGAAATGAAGGGCATGTATGCACAATTCTTTAAAACGGCTTAAATGCTTTTGCACCACTTTCATGGTGTTGGTGTTTGCACGTGTCAGCAGTGTAGTGTGCAGTAATTCCAGCTGCTGTAGCAAATTCTGCAGTGTAATGTGCCTTAAATGACTTGGGGCACAAAAAACTAAAACTCCTTTGAGTTTTAGTTTGCCCTACAGCCGCGGAGTGAAGCACTAGGCTCCGTGCAACTCAGGGGCTCTGCAGGAAGCCCGTGCAGGCAACCTGGCAGCAGCCTGGGAAGGCAGGCTCCACCCAAGAAAAAAAAAAGTGACGAGCCTGATCTTTTTTCCCTTCCAGGAGCCTGCCTGCCTGCCTGAGCTGCGCAGGGGCTTGGTGCTTCCCTCCACAACTGCAATGCTCCCTGGGACCACCCAAGCTGGGTGCCTGCAGCCAGATGCTGTCTGTAAGGGTGCCACTGCTGCCGCAGAGGGAAACACCAACCCCCACCACATATACTCACAGCCCAGGGACCACTCTGCCCCCTGCAGCTCGCCCTCCCCGCCCCTCCATTGTAAAGGCAGGTAAGTGCACGGGTATGTGTATGACATGGGGGTTGACGTGGCCCTACATTGAAGCCGTGTTTTTAAAAACCCACCACTTCAATTTAGGGCCCCCATTTCATCTACACATGCCCACAGAGATTATGTGCTTCAGCAGTAGCCCTGCTTGCTGACTCTTTACTAATTCTCTATTTTACCAATGAAAGCTCCATTGTCACAGTGGCTTATGGAAAAAAAATGAAAATTAGCCTACTGTCATACGTCTGCAGGCCAAAGCACAGTCCTCTCTCACTTGTTCCCAGCATTACAACCAGAGGCATTGGAGAGCAGTAAATTCATCCTGCATACCTCCTCCTGTTGCTCCTTCCACCACATTCCCTCTTTGCAAAAAGAGCCCATGCCCTTAAAGAAGTTATTGTCCTCCTACTGCTTGAGGTTGCAAACAGAACCTTAACTTGCATATCCGACTCCCTACTGTTGTTGGCTTTGCTACTTTTACAGAAGCAGGCTGGCAACAGTTCTTCTCTGCCCTTGGTCTGACCTCCCATGTCAAGCACCATCTCCTCTGCTTATTCTTAGCTTGGACTGGATGTGATACTGGAGCAGAAGCTGGATTAGATGTTTCCTGAACAGGAATCTCCAACCTAACCTCATCCTCCAGCTGTAGGAGATTTTCCCTCTGAGATCTGGCATTCCCCATGACTCCGCCCTGTGAAAGCTACCTCGAGATTCACTTGTTTCCAAGGTGTCGAAGCCAACTGTGATTGTCTGAATTGCACTGTAGGGTGGGGAGCCCAAACACAGCTCCTGGCAGCAGGGTGACTAGTTTTGAGCTGGCTGATATTTCTTCGCTGTGTTCCAGGGGTGGAAACGGAGTGAAATGTCCCCAGCTTTCTAGCTGAAGGTGTTACTAGCAGCTTTTTATTAAAAAAAGCAAGAAGCCTTAAGTGATTATTTTTTTCCCAGCTGTGAGAAAACTACCACTCTCCAGATAGTATAGATATTTCAGCAAACATTAATCTTGATGAGTAGGGAGACTATAAACAGGTTATTTATCCTACTAGCTTCTGCAGGAGATTTTGCTCCCTTATGAGCTCCTCAGTCAGTTCTCCAAAGCAAAATTCAGTAAGCAAACAAACAAACAAACAATCCTCTGTCCTCTTCCAGAAGCTAGGAGAAGACACACTTTTTGCTCTGGCCCCAGCACAGCAGCCTAGCTTCTCCTTGCAACAAGCTATTCTCTTTACAGCTTGCTTCCTCATCCCCTTTGCTTTCTCTTTCAAGAGCTGTTAAAGCTCAGCAGAAGGCACCTTCAGCCAAATGCCCCCATAGCTGAGCTTTCTGAACAGGGCTGATAGCCCCATCTGATACAGTCAGGAAGGCAAATACTCTGTGCACCCCAGTGATGCACAGAGGCTCACTGCCCCCAGTAAACCGTATGGTAAGCTAATAATTAGTGCTTGCTTCAACCCCAGCTTGTTTAGAGCAGAAGGGCCCAGCCTTGAACACCTGAGGAACGTGGGGCATTTTCTCCACCAGGCTCAGGCTCAGTCTCACTCCTCCCTGGCCAGATCCTGCTCTGCACAGGAACGTGAAGGGAACACTCCTAGCACTGGTCTTCATGCTGTGTGATGATGTGAATCCTCTGCATATGCGATTCCCAACCTCACTTCCATGCAGCCATAAGGGAGAGGGCCAGAATTTGCTGCATGATGTTAAGTTTTTGGCCCCCGTTTGGGTTCTTTAAACCATTCCAGCAGTGCAGAGCATCTGTAAAACTGGCATAACCAGACTACACATGATTACCATGTGACATGCTGCAGGTTAGGGGTGTGTGATTTAGAGAAAAGGAGAGTAGCTGACTTGGATTTTGGTGAACTCTACTTGCCAGAATGGCTTTTTGTGGCTTTAGAGAGATGAACAAAGTTTAGAGCAGCCAGCTCTGAGAGCTGTGAGGTGTGCTGAGAGCAAACTGGCTTTAATTAGTTATGCAACTTCAAATCCCGGATCCTGTGCCAAGCTCATCTTGATCAGACCAGAGAATCTGGGCCCATATGCTCAATAGTAGAAATATTGAGGTCTCTCTCTCTGTGTCTCTGAGATGTTAATGGATGAATTTTAATCAACAGGAAAAAAAACCCCAAAAATAAAGGAACATGATTCAATTTAGTCAAATATGTCTTAACCATTACTTTTTAGCAGTAGCATAACTAAAGGGGCAGCAGCCCTGGGCACCTGGGTGGGGACACAAAAATAGCAGCTGCCAGCTAAACACGCCCTTGTCCAGAGTGCAGAGCTGCCCTGTTATGCCTCTTCTAAGTTTTCCTCATCATGTTCATTATAAAAACTCTGCCAGTTCAGGGTGGAAACTGCTGCCTCTAGTACTCTCTGTTTTATCTTGGAGATATGTGAATGATACTGCTCCTAAAGGAAAACCCACTTTTTCATAAGGAATATAGTAAGCTAAGTGCAAGTTTGCTGCTGGGTGCGACTCCTTTAAGAGGTTCTGTGCTGTTTGGTTGCTAGGGGCAACTCTTATAAATATCAGTGAAACACATGTGGCGTCTGGAAAAAGAACCTGAAGAGGGAAGGTCTGTACGTCCGGTAGTGGATGCTAGATCTACTCTGAATCGACATCTGTACTGAGTAGCTGTTGAACTTGTTAATAGCCATACTTATTTATTAATCCTGAATTTTCCTCTCTTATTGGTAGTGAGATGATAGGAAGGAGCATATATGACATTTACAATGAAATATTTAAAGTTTTCCAAATGTTTTTGCTGTGCAAGAATATGAAGTCATATGTACATAGATTTATTTATGACAAATACACCTTTGATTACAAATTACAGTGAATAATACATAGGGCCACCAGAGCTCTCTTCCTAAAGTCCAGCAGACCTACTCCGCTTACATTGCTGATGGTGTCCTGCCCTAGTCTGTGACAGTTGTTTTACAAGTACCAGGGACTAATCAGTATTTCAAAGCAAATTGGACTGTGGATGCTGGGTAATAATGTATGCACACAAGGAAGGCAGAACATAAGGCTGGCATCAACAGCAAAACAGGGAAGGTAGAGGGGGAATGTATGGGTTAAATGATCTAAAGTAATGTAATAAATAATTACAATGATATATATGCTCCGGGTATTTCCCATACTTCTGGCCTTTGCGAGTTGCCACATGGGACCAAGAGGGATTTTTTGCTACCTATGGAGTTGGTTGTTTTGTTTTGTTTTGTTTTGTTTTGTTTTAAAGGCCTTCCTCTGAACCATTGGGTGTTCACTGCAGCCAAAACTGGGGATTTTGCCTGGGGTGTGTCAGTGCTCTTGTTGGGACCTAAACCCAGAAGTTCTTGGCTAAAGGGTTGTGCCCCATCAGTCAGAGTCAGACCGATTGCTGTTTGGGGGGTCAGGAAGAAATATTACACCATAGTCAGCATTCCTCTGTAGCAGGGGTGTAGCATGGTCCTCTTCCTCAGATCTCTCAAGCATATTTTAACAACCTTGCAGCAGCAAGACATTGGCTTTTGTGGTCCTGCTGCTATTCCTGTGGCAGGTTAGGGTGTTATGTCTTGCAGTTTTGTCAGGGCTGACTGCACAGTTTTTCTAATAAGTTAAACAATGGGTTTGTATAGGGTGGTTGGATAGAGATGATCCTGCCTGAGTGGTTGGACTAATTGACCTCCTGAAGGTCCCTTCCAGCCCTACATCTCTATGGTACCATAATATTGCATTAGAAAAGTATTCTTTTTCAGGAAAAATATTAAAATTACCTGCCATCTAATGAAACACAATAGCCATTTTGATCCTTAACCAACCAGAGCCTGGACCTGATTCTTCACTGTCTGAAAGCCTGGGAAATTAATTATACCTTTGCATAAAACTCCATCAAATAAAATCCTGTGGGCCAGAACTGTCACTGGTGTAAATCAATCTATGCCCAGCTGAGGATCTGACCCACTGTACATAGTTGTAATTAACTACACAAGATGCAGGACAGTTGACAATGGCAGAAAAGAATACAAGAGAAAATAGGTTCCCCCCATGCAGCGCTAATCATCAGCTGGTTCCTGGCCTGAATAACATTGCTGTATGTGACGGTGACAGAAGTTATATACATTTAAAATAAATGGGCTGTGTAATAAGGTTGGTGGCAATGGGTCTTATCCATTCCTCCCAATCTAAAGGGCAGCTTAAGGGCCTGATAGCTCCAGGGATGTTTCCACTGGCTTCAAAGAGACTTTGATCAGGCCCTGCATCCATAATAATTTAATAAGCATAATGCTGTGTAAGAGAAATTAGGGAAAATGCTACTGTTGTCATTTCAATAAAGCCCTCTAAATCCAGTTTCTTCAATTAATTCTATTTTCCTTTTGCTAGATAACCTGTTCAAACCAAAGGAAAGATTCATTTCGGAGAAGGAGATGCATATGAGATCTAAAAGGTACAGAGTGTTTTGGTTTAGTATTCACTGGGATTCATTGGTACCTAACAAAGGCACAGCATTTCCTTTTTATCTTCATCATCTATGGTCTTTGATATGTCATACTTCTTGCCCTGCTTGTGCATGTTGCACACATCTGTTTTTTAAAACTGCACACAGCTTTTCTATGACTCAGTCTCAACTGTGCTTTGGGAAGAGTATGGATCTGCACTATCCCAGCAGAAGCACTGAAGTGGGTTGGATCATACTCTATTTATTTGGTGCCTTTGTGCACCCTGCTGTTCCACTTTGCTTGTGTCTCTGAAAACAACATTAATGTAGAGATGGATGGGTCTTCCTCCTCCTTGCTGCTATATGTGACTTAGCTAGACTCTAACCTGAAGGCATGTTACAAAAAGATAAGTATTAAAGTTTTTCAAGGGCTTGAGCAGAATAGGACTGGGTTTAAGTACCTATCAGTACAATTCAGGCATCTAATAGATGCAGTAGCGTTTGATCCAGAGCATCCTTGGACTCTGATTTGCACAGGGAAAAGGAAAACAGACTTTTCATTATGCCCCTTAATGGAGTGTAATCTCCTGAGCCATTTCTTCTTCCTTGTCAGGGTAGGTCATGTTTTTGCTTCATCCCATCTTTTTTATGTGGCAACACAAGCAAGAAGCAGTCCTGTAGTTATGGCACGTTTCTGCACAACTATGCTTGGAAGTAGGCTGACGTGCTCTTTCTGCATTTGGAAAGTCCATAATGGTCTAGTTGCTTCTCACTTATTTTACCATCTTTAGCGATGTACTAAATGTTATTTTTTTCAAGCCTGTTTACTAATAGACATTTGTGTATAATAGTGTGTATGTTGTAGCCTTCAAAATATAGTAATAGTTCCATCTCTGTAATAAGTAATTTTTCTTGTTGCAGTCTCACCCACATTACGTCCAAGGTCCAAAAGTGCAATAAGGTTTGCACTGTCAAATATTCCTTGGGGCTCTTATCTGGCAGTGTGCTTTCTCCATCTTCTGTCATACTTATTATTATTCCACATCTTTCCTTGTTAATATTATAAGTTATTTTCTTATATAACCATTAAAGGGAGTATGGACTCTTTTCTCCAGTCGTAAAAATGTGTTTCTGCAGAGCAGTATAGGCCAGAATTTCACAATGTGATTTT